GTGTGTGTGTGTCTGTGTGTCTGTGTCTGTGTGTGTGTCCATGTGTGTGTGTCTGTGTGTCTGTGTGTGTCTGTGTGTGTGTGTGTCTCTGTCCATGTGTCTGTGTCTGTGTGTGTGTCTGTGTGTGTGTGTCTCTGTGTATCCGTGTCTGTGTGTGTGTCTGTGTGTGTCTGTCTCTGTCCATGTGTGTGTGTCTGTGTGTGTGACTGTGTGTGTGAGTGTGTGTGTGTGTCTCTGTGTATCCGTGTCTGTGTGTGTGTCCATGTGTGTGTGTCTGTGTATCCGTGTCTGTGTGTGTGTCTGTGTCTGAGTGTGTCTGTGTATCCGTGTCTGTGTGTGTGTCTGTGTGTGTGTCTCTGTCCATGTGTGTGTGCCTGTGTCTGAGTGTGTCTGTGTATCCGTGTCTGTGTGTGTGTCTGTGTCTCTGTCCATGTGTGTGTGTGTCTCTGTCCATGTGTGTGTGTCTGTGTCTGAGTGTGTCTGTGTATCCGTGTCTGTGTGTGTGTCTGTGTGTGTGTGTCTCTGTCCATGTGTGTGTGTCTGTGTGTGTGTCTGTGTGTGAGAGCGCTGCCCCGCCCCTCACACACAGGGTCAGAGAGAGAGAGGCAGATGAACTTCTGTGTAGGAAACAGTGAAAATGCATCATAGACGAATGTCTTAATCAGAAATGGAGTTGGTGAATGTGCAGAACTTTTATGTTGCAACAACAAATACGAAAACTATTTTCCTAATTCCTTCAGTACCAAGAGCGGAACACATAATGTTGGATGGTTTCAAAATTCGATTAATTGCCCAGCCCTAATCCCTGTTCACTCAGATCACCTGGTTCTGTGATAAATTCCCACATTGTTGCTTCAGTCAGAATCTTCACGTTCACAGATTTTTATTTTGTATTTCATCATCTATAAATAGAGCTAATTAAACAGTAGTAAAGGAATCATCAGGTCTTAACGACCTCTCATTAACCTGCACGTGTAGACTTCTACAGGTTTGGGTTTAAGGACTTGTTGCTATGACAAGAGATCCAGATACATTTTAAACTAGCTTTGAAGAACCTGGACTCAACCAAGATCTGAGGTTTTCAGTCCTACGACGGTGGGTCACCTGTTACCAGCTACATCACCATGGTAACTGACACTGAACTACTACTAACCAATCAGATCACTGGAAACACTGAGTCATCATTCTACAGGATCCTGACAGGGACAAAAGAGATAATGGTAAAGTGATCAATGAGAATGATAAGTAGACATCTGTATTGATCAGTGATTGATCACAAAATAAATATAGAATAATATTAAAGCTGTCTTTGACCTGAACAGACAAGTGAATGATTCATCAATGAACTGATTTATCGATCAATAGTAACATACAGACTCTTCCTGTCTGAGGAGGAGAAGACAGACACAACTCACCAGGAGAACAGGCTCCTCCTCCTCCTCTCTGACAACTCCCCCGCTTCTTCCTCCTCTTCTTCCTGCTCCTCCTCTCCAGAGAGTCCAGACGACGGCCGAGGGAGGCCAGAGCTCCTCGCAGGAGGCGCCGCACCTCCTGCCGGTGAGCTGAGAGGAGGCGGGGCAGGAGGGAGGAGCAGGGGCAACAGGGGGGAGAAGGAGGAGCAGGAGGGGGAGCCACAGGGGGAGGTGGAGAAATGAGTGACAGAGGGATGTGAGCAGAGGAAGAAAGAGGAGAACAAATGGCAGAAGGAGGAGGAGGTGAAGAGGAAGGAGGAGTTGGAGGAGGAGACTGAGAAGAAGAGTGATGATAAAGGAGAGGAGGAAGAGGAGCAGAACGAAAAGGAGGAGAATCATGGAGAGAAGGAAGAGATAAGACGAAAACAGGAGCAGGAGGAGACGAGAAGGGGGGAGGTGAAGGATGGATGGATGGAGGGACAGGAGGAGAGGAGGAAGGAAGAGGAGAAACAGAAGAGGTAGGAAGGGTGCAGGGAGGAGGAAGAGGAGTAGGAGTGGAGGAAGGAGAGAAATAAACAAGAGAAGGGGCGGTAGGAAGAGAAACTGGAGGAGAATGTGACATAAAAGGAGCAGAAGAGACAGATGTGGGAGGAGGAGGAAGATGAGTGGAGGAAGCAGAGGAAAGAAGAGAATGACAAACAGGAGGAGGAGCAGATGAAAGAGAAGAAGAAGGGAGGGACGGGGGATGAGGAGGACAGAGAGGAGAAAGAGGAGGAGGGGTAAAAGATGATGGAGGGGAAAGAATGGAGGGAGGATGAGTTGAAGGAGGAGTTGAAAGGAAGGAGGAGGCACAGGGAGGAGGAGGTGAAGAGGAGGAGGAGCTCCAAAGAGGAGAGAAAACTCCTGCAGGAGAAGAAACGGCAGTCAGTGCCCTCACTCTCTCTTTCTACATGTAAACACCAAGTCTCTCGCCCAGATCTCACCTGTTTGTGTTCCGCCGTTATCACCCTCATCAACCAGTGGGAGGACAGGAGTCGGGGTCAAAGTTAGCAGGCCCCGCCCCCGATCGTCATTGTCATTCACTGTCAGCGGTCGAGATAGCATAGTGGAGACTAGCACAGAGAGAGAGAGAGAGAGCGAGAGCGAGAGAGAGAGAGACAATGCCGATTTAAACGAATGAGTTTGAATTAATTAATCAGTTTGAGCGTTTCCCTTTGATAACAAAATAACATTTTTAATTTTACACAAATCTGAAATAAAATTTTACAATTTACATAATTTATAAATATTAACGAAGTAAAAATATTTCTATAGAATAACTTGTCTAAATGATGTTTACAAGCATGTTCTGATATTAGATAAAAACAACAATAATAACAAAAAATATGATCATAACAATAACAATAATTATGATGGTAATAATAATAATAACAATAATAATAATAATAAAAATAAAAATAAAGATAACTCTTACGAATTGATAATTTATTCAGTGTCAGGAAAGTCGCCTAATATGAGCAAAAAACAAACAAAAAAATGTATTAAAAACTAAAAATCTTTAAAAACGTTGCAGCTCTCACTTCCGCTCGCGAGATTTCACCTACTGCTGGAAAAATCCCAAAATATTTGTGTAAATCTGCAGATTTCAGCGTCAACTGATTGACTAGTGATTTTGACGGTTTTCTGTCGTCACAGCGGGATTCTGCGTGGCGTAACAAAAAGGTAACTGCAGAAAGCGGGACTGTTGCGGTCCGAGGTGAGGATAAACAGGGATTTGAGGGAAATAAAAGGAAACTGATCGAGCTAGCTGCTGTTAGCTGCCTAGCAAGCTGCCCTGTGTGTGAAGCCGTTAAACAGGAAGAACCGGGACACTTTAACGGTTCATTTTACCTTTTTCAAGCCCGACGGGTCCGTTAGTCGCCGTTAAATCCTCTTATTTCTCATTTTTAGTGGTTTGCCGGCAAAAATACCGAATCTGGCCGGTATTTCCAGTGGAATCGGTGCCCGTTATCGCATTAGACCGGCGTCAAGCTAACGGAAGTCATATCGACTGAACTTCCAGTGTGAGTGTCAAAATAAAAGATCCTGGGCGGCAAGCGGAATACGTTTCAAATTAAAGCATAATGAAAAGTAGTTACACAACTCCCGGAGGAAGGTTTTTCAAAGCAACAGAGCACATATTAAATAATACTAAAATAAGATGTGACGAAGACTCTATCTATCTATCTATAGTAGCAAGAAATAGTATGTGAACCTTTTGGAATGTCATGGTTTTCTGAATAAATTTGTCATAAAATCTGATCTTCATCTAAGTCAAGAGTATTGACAAATATAATGTGTCTAAAATAATAACACAAGAAAAAATCTGATCTTTCATGTCTTTATTGAACACACTCATTCAACATTCAAAATGGCAGTGGAAAAAGTAAGTGAACCCTTAGAATTAATAACTGGTTGACCCCCCCTTAGCAGCAATAACCTCAACCAGGTGCTTCCTGTAGCTCTGGATCAGAACTGCACATTGTTGAGGAGGAATTTTTGCCCATTCTTCCTGGCAGAACTGCTTAAGCTCTGCCATATTCTTTGGATGTCTCATGTGTATGGCTCTCTTCAAGTCAATCCATAGCATTTCTATTGGGTTGAGGTCTGGGCTCTGTCTTGGCCACTCCAAAAGGCAGATTTTGTTTTTCTGGAACCATTCTGTTGTGGACTTGCTCCGGTGTTTAAGGTCGTTGTCCTGTTGCATCACTCACTTTCTAGAGAGTTTCAGCTGATGTACAGACATTCTCAGATTATCCTGAAGAATTCCCTGATAAACTTGGGAATTCATATTCCCCTCAATGATTGCAAGCTGGCCAGGCCCTGATGCTGCAAAGCAGGCCCAAATCATGAGGTTTCCTCCACCATACTTTATGGTTGGGATGATGTTTTCATGACGATATGCGTGCCTTTCTACGCCAGATGTAGTGCTGGTTTGTTTTTTCCAAATAGTTCAATCTTAGTTTCATCAGCCACAAACTTTTGCCAAATACTGCTGTGGAGTGTCCAATGTGTCTTTTGCAAACTTCAGGCGATCAGCAATGTTCTTTTTAGTAAGCAGTGGCTTTCCTTCGGGTGTCCTGCCGTGATACTGCTTGTTAATGTTTAACGTATTGTTGACTGGTATCTCAAGCGCTGGATGTTGTAGGGCTGTCTTGGTTGAACACGGCCTCTGCAACATTGGCGTGGACATCGGGGGGCAGTGCCCTCTGGAGTGGCAACCGGGTGGTGGTCCCCATCTTTAGAAGGGTGACCAGAGGGTGTGTTCCAACTACCGGGGAATTACACTCCTCAGCCTCCCTGGTAAGGGTCTAATGCCAGGGTACTGGAAAAGAGGGTCCGGTCGATAGTTGAACCTCAGATCGAGGAGGAGCAATGTGGTTTTCGTCCTGGGCGTGGAACTGTGGACCAGCTCTTTAGGGTGCTGGAGGGAGCATGGGAGTTTGCCAATCCAGTCCACATGTGTTTTGTGGATTTGGAGAAAGCTTACGACCGTGTTCCCAGGGGCACCCTGTGGGGGGCACTCCGGGAGTATGGGGTGGATGGTCCCTTGTTAGTGGCCATTAAGTCCCTGTACCAAAGGAGTGTGAGTCTGGTTCGCGTAGCCGGCAGTAAGTCGGACCTGTTCCCGGTGAGAGTTGGACTCTGCCAGGGCTGCCCTTTGTCACCGGTTCTGTTCATAACTTTTATTGACAGAATTTCTAGGCGCAGCCGGGTGGTGGACGGGTTTGGGTTCGGTGGCAGGAGGATCTCATCTCTGCTTTTTGTGGATGATGTGGTCCTCCTAGCTTCATCGAGCGCCGACCTTCAGCTCTCGCTTGGGCGGTTCGCAGCCGAGTGTGAAGCTGCTGGGATGAAGATCAGCACCTCCAAGTCTGAGGCCATGGTTCTCAGCCGGAAACGGGTGGATTGCCTGCTCCGGGTCGGGGGGGAGGCTCTGCCTCAGGTGGAGGAGTTTAAGTATCTCGGGATCTTATTCACGAGTGAGGGTAAGATGGAGCGGGAGATCGACAGGCGGATTGGGGCGGCGTCAGCAGCGATGCGGGCGCTGAACCGGTCCGTTGTGGGGAAGAGGGAGCTAAGCCGGAAGGCAAAGCTCTCGATTTACCGGTCGATCTACGTTCCAATCCTCACCTATGGTCATGAGCTTTGGGTAATGACCAAAAGAACGAGATTGCGAATAAAAGTGACCGAAATGAGCTTCCTCCGCAGGGTGGCCGGGCTCAGCCTTAGAGATAGGGTGAGGAGCTCGGTCATCCGGGAGGGACTCGGAGTAGAGCCGCTGCTCCTCCATGTCGAGAGGAGCCAGTTGAGGTGGTTCGGGCATCTGGTGAGGATGCCTCCTGGACGCCTCCCCCGGGGAGGTGTTTCGGGCATGTCCCACCGGGAGGAGGCCTCGAGGTCGACCAAGGACACGCTGGGGGGATTATATCTCTCAGCTGGCCTTGGAACGCCTCGGGATCCTCCCGGAGGAACTGGTGGAAGTGGCTGGGGAGAGGGCTGTCAGGACCTCTCTGCTGAGGCTGCTGCCCCCGCGACCCGGATCCGGATAAGCGGGAGACAACGAGTACGAGTATGAGTAATTGTTTAAGTTTATTATTATTATTATATTTTATTATTATTTTTAATTAATTAATCAATTTTTATTATTTATTTATTCCTCCATCTTCTTTTCTCTGACCTATAGTTCTATTCTTATTACTGCTTGCTCAGTTGTTCCTATAGTTTATGCACTTATCCTAAATGTGATTTATGCCTTTTTGATTGTCATAAACACTTCCATGTTGTGATGTCAAGTCATGACTGTGATGATGTCATCTTCTCCAGGTTCTGTTCAGCAAGTCTGAGTTCCACAGTCTCAGCTAGGAGTTTATTCACTTCTCCATGCACAAGTCGAATGTTTCGTATCCGCTGCACAAGTTTTTCAAGATGCTTGATTGGATAACTTGGAATAGTTCAAAATAAAAGTAATCAAAGTAGGTATTAAAGTAAGTTAAAAAAAGCGACATTATAGCATTTCAAAACAAAAGCCAACAGACTGACTGAAACCCTGCTCCGCTGATATATGTGATTGGTAAGCAGTGATGTTGCTAGGTACGCGTCCTGCGTCCCTGACGCATTAAAATCTGAAAAGACGCAGTAAACTGCAACTCATTTTTCCCATGAAAAACGACACATTGTGAACAACAACTCGTGTTTAAAATCACAGTAACTAGCAAAAGTAACTTCGCTGTCAGCAGACCGGGCAAGCGCTGTTTCAACCCTCTGCGCATCTACTCTGCGCAGACGTGATCCCCTGTGTACAGTATTGTGACATGCTAGTTTAGCTACTACCACAACAATTAGCCAGTTACCGCAGATTTCATTTCAACAATTAAAGATACGAACTTCATAGTAGTAAATAAACTCATGTTTCCACTGCTCGATGCTGTGTTCACTCATGTCGACGTCTAGGGGACGTGCTGTAATGAAATAAATAAAACATACTCCGGTGGCGGTGATGAAAAATACTTTAACAGACTTTCCACTGTGTTAGTTAAGTTTCATTTGTGTGCTAAAAGTTTCACAGTGATTGACTCAGTTCATTTGATTTAGTTGATGTTCAGACAAGAAGATTTTGGTCTTATTTTGGTGACAATTTATTTGTTGACTCTGTCATGGTGATGAGAATGTTTTGTTTATGTGTTAAAATCAGCACTTTTATTGATAATTTATTTTGGTACTACAGACACCATTTTGTTTTTATTTGAATTTTAGTAATTTATTTTGGTGCTATTTATGTTGCTACAAAAATGCTATTTTATTTGAATTTTGTATGTCATGCCGCTGTGACAGTTTTGCAATAAACTTTTCAGATTTGGAATCTTATTTGTTTAATTTCAGATACATTTTGAACATACATGAATATATCCGTTAATTATAACCATATCATACCACCATCAAAGGAGTTTAACACTACAAATTAAGAAATAGAAGAATATAAGAAATACATTTTTATTTGGGACCCATTGAATTTCCCAGGGACCCACTCACATTACCAACTGTGGGTCCTGGGGACTCACTACATTGAAAACCTATCAACATCACTGGGTAAGTATCAGTGGATATTGATTGGTTGATTTTCACTGTAGTATATTTTGGAGTTGTAAAATTGCAGATCCTTTCACAATAAAAGCCCCGTGTTTCCTTCCTGTCAGGTCACCCAAAGACCAGAGTGTTTGTAAGTCACGGCGGCACCAACGGTTTGTACGAGGCCGTGTATCATGTTATGCCGCTAGTCTGAGTCCCGCTGTTTGCCGATCAACCCGATCACCTCGCCTGTCTGAGCCGCCGCGTCGCCGCCATCGTCCTAGACTCAAACTACAACCTGAAGTTATGTGACGGTGGTGTTGAAGTCATATGACTTTTGTTGAAGTCAGTTGACGGTGGTGTTGAAGTCACGTGACGTTGAAGTCGTGACGGTGAGGTTAAGTCATTTAAAGGTGGTGTCATTAGGTGTTGACACGAGGTGAATTGTGCTTGATCTAAACAGGAAGTAGGTGACTGATAAACACTGACCAGGACAGAAACACACAGTTTATCAGCTGACAGGATTTAATTTGACTTATTTATTGGAGCATTAAAAATGTTGGTGGTTGTTTCTCTGTCACTCCAACACAAACCAAATCCGAACAAAATAACTCAGTCAAATTTCAGGCTTTTATTTTGTACAAAAACAAGCACAGGCTCCACCTCCTCCGTTGTCAAACGGGAAACAAAGTTTTTACCATCAAATGTTACATTAGCACTGAGAGTGAACACGGGAGGTTTGGTCATCACAGTCACAACCAATCAGAGAAGGAAACAGGAAACTTTTACTTTTAAAACAAAACAGGAAGCAGAATTTCTCTCCAGCAGGAAGCGACCCCAAGCTGAACTAAATAAACTACTACATATGATGTGATTGTTTATTTTTTCATGTTAATAAACCTGAAAACAAAAATAAATAAACATCCTGAACAAGTTTTTATTTAACATAAAAAATAAAAATAAAAATAATTCAAAGTGATTTGAAACGAGTTTAATTTGAAGGATTTTACAGGAAATACTGTCCATCCTTTCACAATAAAACAAGCAATGATTGGAGAGATGTTTAAAAAGTTGTTGTGACAACCCCTCAGAAGGCAGCGACCCTCATGTTGAAACCTCTGGACTAAACACTGAAACATCAAACACAGATCTCGTTTCATTTGGTTTAATTAATGTGGAGCAGAAACGTGACGGAGCCGTGTGACAGGCATGTCTGGTGATGATGTCACAGGATCTTCAAAGTAAGAGTTTTGACCAAACTCACCAGATTTTTATTCTTAGGTTTTTGTTTTTTTTTTTATTTTATTCACATAAAAACTGATGATGTCATCAAGTAACTCATTTTTGTTTACATAATTTTCAACAAAAACAGGAAACCAGCCAAAACCACAGCTGACTGTCAAAGTAAACCCCCCTGCAGGCTGACAGGAAGTGACATCATCAGATCACCTGCGGTACCGCCCCCTCTCTTTGTCTCTCTCTCTCTCCCTGTCTCTGTCCCTTGCTCGCTCTCTCTCTCTCTCACGACGTGGTCCACCGCGCTCACGCTCCCGCTGACGCTCGCGCTCACGCCGGCTGCTCACCACTGCCTGTGTTCGCCGCAGGAAGTCGTCCACACGCATGTCGTAGTCATGCTGCATGATGGGAAAAAAAAACACAAGAGAGAAGACATCAGACCCATCCCTTATCAATAAGATTTGATCAGACTTTTGATCTACAGAATGACAAACTGACTGGGCTGGAGGTGAAGGCACGGTGTTGCGGCACTCTCTGCTTGTCTCTGAAGCGAGGGGGCGGAGCCTCATGTGGTGGCAGGGGGGGGTGGTGGTGGTGGTGGTAGGCCTGGTGAGGAGGTGGAGGGGGGTGGCTGTGGTGGTAGTAGGGGGGATGATGGGGCGGCGGTTGCTCCACACCGGGGTACGCTGCCTGATGACAATCACATCACATCATTAGTGTCTCTCGTCAATAACCTGGATCCATCAGGACAGAGGATCAACAACAGAGTCGTACCAGAGTTTGCCAGGGAGCCGGAGGACCCACGCTGTGGTGATAATCCCTCATGTAGTCATTATAGGACTGAAACGCACAGGTAAACACAGGTGAATACACCTGACACTGAGGCCAACACCTCAGGGTGATAAATTAAGCTAAGCTAACATGCTAAGACATTTGGGACTCACCCCGTTGAGGAAAACATCTCGTCTGACGCTGGAGAAACGCCTGAAAACAAACAGTTAAAATCAAACAGTAATTTCTGTTGTCGATAAATCATGTTCACAGCGTGTTGTCAAAGTTATTTTCTGTGGTTTTAATCTGGTGAACTCCTGATATTGATTTCTCTAAACTTAAAATATACAATCTAACAGAATTTCAAAATAAAGGTTCCTTAGTCAGACATTTCCTGTTCTTGCTCATCAGTCCTTCATATTTTCAGTAAATTAAACCGTTTTAATTTTCACACGTTTGTCATGTGTTAGTGATGAATGCTGCTGTAGCTACGCCCCCTCCAGGTGAGTGATGAGGTGTGTCTCACCTGTCCACCGGCTGGTTACGAAGGTCCTGGATGAATCCTGAAAGTGAAACAGATTCTTCTGTGAAATCTTTTCAGTTTGTTTGTCGGCAGCGATTCAAGGAAAATGTCCAGAATCCAGTCGACACAAAAATTCATTAAAAATAACAAAAAAGAAACCAAAACAAAACAGTTTGAAAACAATCAACAGAAAAAAACACATTTCATAAAAAAAAAAAATGTATATCTACATCTATATCTATATAAAACAAACAACTAAATTAAATTTTTACTAAAGTTTTGAAATGTGTTTAAAGCATTTCTGGGACGTTTCACTCAAACACTGAAACCGAAGCTGCAGCTTCTCAGATTAACGACCTGCTCGCTGGCTGAAGTCCGGCGGACCGTCGGCTCGCGGCCGCTTCCTGCCGTGGAGGTCGTACTCTTCAGGTCGACGCCTACATAAACAAGTCAACAAGTAAGACACACGCAGCCGCACAAATACAAATACACACACACACACACACACACACAGAAAAACTCAAATTCAAACAGAAAAACTGAGTTCTACTAAAACTAGGTCTGAGTCTCCAGGTGAGTCACAGGTGAACGCCTGTGACCCTTTACATCTAACCTCAACTTCATGACCATCTGCCAATTACACGCTGTCTACCAGTCCTCCAGTTGTCATCTGTCAGTTTTTACTTGTCCAATAAAGGTTTTGCGTTTTTTCTGGACCAGGTCTCTGGGGGTCTCTGGGGGGTCAAGGCGGTCTCCAGGGTCTCTGGGGGTCTCGGCGGTGTCTGGGGGATCAAGGGGGTCACTGGGGTCAAGGCAGTCTCTTGTGGTAAGGGGTCTCTGGGGTCAAGGCCATCTTCTGGCGCGTCGAAGGGGTCAAGGCAGTCTCTGGGGGGGTCTCTGGTGTGTTGAGCTGGTCTCTGGGGGGGTCGAGGCCATGTCTGGGGGTTGAGGGTTTACCTGAAGGTTGTCTTACGGTGTCTGCGGCCGTCCTGAACGGCGCGTATCGAGCGCATCGGCAGCCAGGGTTCGAGGGCGATGTGGTCCTGCCAGGCGTCTAACGGGGGGTGGGGGGGGGGGGGGGGGTCGAGGGGCTGACCGTTAGTAAAAACTGATTCACTGTTCGACGGACAGAAACATTTTGACAGATTTGTGTCACACACACAACAATTAAAAAAAACAAACAAAGAAGAAGAACCTCAAAGGAACAACATACCGCTTGTGTTGTAAATGTGGGAGGGGCTGTTTGTTTGTTTGTCAACAACACTTTTATAAAAAAAACAGTTTTTCTCCTCATCAGTCCATGTTAAAGGCTTTTTTTTTTTTTTTTTTTAAAAAACCCTCTTATTTTGAAAAGGTGGAGGGGGGTGATGATGATGATGATGATGGTGCAGTCCTGTCAATCAATACACAAAGCCCCGCCCACTCATCCCAGCCCGCCCCCTCCAGACCAGCAACAGTCCTTCAGACAGAAACGACAGATTTTCAGGTCGTCGCTCCGTCGTCTCCTCCCTCCTCTTCTCCTCCACACACACACTTTATATTCAGTTCATAAGACCGACACACACACACACACACGTTAACAACCAGCTCTCAGTCCTGATTCAGTGTGTGTGTGTACTGGGGGAGGAGGGGGAGGGGGATGGGGGTATATAACTGTCCTTCATGGAGGGGGCGGGTCATCATTTTTTCAGTCCAAAAGGATTTTATTTTTTTAAGTAGTCCATCTTTTCCTTCATGTATCTCTGAAATTTTACCTTATTTGACCAGTGAAGAAGCCCCGCCCCCTCAGATATCCCACACCCTCTCATGGGATATAGTCCAGATGCCCCACCCCCTGATTGACCAACCTGCATCACCTTGTCAAAGACCAGAAACAGTCCGCTGGGAGCTCACAGTCCCTCACTTTCTCTCTCTCTCTTTCTGTTTAAGTTCTACCTTGCTCGCCCCCCTCCCTCCGTCAGTCCAGCCAGTGACGCTCATCCTTTTTTGCTTTTATTCTGAAAGGGTCAGCCACAGTCCAGCTAAAAGCCAAATATTTAGATTTTTAAAAATTCCGAAGTACGAAACTCCTGCAAAGAAAAAGAGCTTCAAAGAGAAATTCAGCAACAACAAACTTTAAAACTCTTGGCTGCCGAGTTTAAAACAGAAAGCAAAAGACTACAAATTATGTTTCATTGACAAAAGGAGAAATTAATAAAATTAAAATGTTGCTTAACTTAAGCTAAAATAAAGACAAGAATTTAAGACTTAAACTAGACTTTGTTAACGACCATCGCCCCAGGAGGACTTTAACTTCCTGCCTGACTTTCAGACTTCAACCACAGACGCAGAGGCGTAGCTCCGTTGGAAAGCTCCAGACTGGAAAAACCACAACAACCACCACAGAACCAGCAACGCTAGCTACGGGATAGCTAGCCACTGGCTAAAGGCAGCGGCGGTCTCCGTTGTCCGGCAGCAGGTGGCGCCGTGGTCGCAGCAGGAGAAGAAGAAGAACAGGAAGCGGGAGGAGGAGGCTTGGTGATTGGCTAACCTTCCCGGTTCGCGTTGAGGCGGTCGGCCTCGAGGCCGGGGCTCCGATGGTGTCCGGCGTTTGTGACGAACGCGGCGAGCAACCTGGTGGACATCCACGCTCTCGTCCAATGGGAAAAGGGCACAGAGCTGAGCGCCGACGTCTGGTTGGATCTCCTGAAAATGATTCGACAGTTTAAACAAAATATTAGAAAAAACTTGTAGATTAAAACAGGAAGTGAAGCAGTGAGCTCACCTGTCCATCACGTCCGATTTTGACGGGCTTATGTTCGTTCCAGGGGTTGGACAGGTGAGCTGTCTTAGTGAAAGGAAGTTCCCTCCTGCAAACAGCAACACCTGTGTGTTACACCTCATCTGACTGGAGAACAGTTAAAATAAATTCATCAACACATTTCACACACTGCAAGCAACTCTAGCTCCTGGAGGACACAGGTCAGCTCCATCAGGCACCAGAGCCAGCACCTTTTAGTAGCTGTTTTACAGCCCCTGCTACCTCTGTCGAGGTTGTCATGCCCACTGAGAGCCCTTTCAGCGTATGTTCACCGCCTGCGTCTGACAATCCGAAAAAGGTCTTCGTTCCAGTGCTTAGAGCACCTTGGTGAGGAAGGATGAAGTAGAATGAAAGTTACGTATGCAACTACGGTTCTATGACTCCTGAAAGACCTCCAGAGCTTTCAGTCAGAAGATTCTGTAATTACAGATTCCCTGATGACACTGGAAGATACTCCCCCTCTCGGGTTATCCGGAGTCACGGGTGACATTGTTCGTATAAAATACTCGACCTGCGTGTACGCAAGACGCCTCCAACACTCCTCCAGGATTCACAGAACCGTAGTTACATGTGCAACTTTCATTTTGGTCCCAGGTGAGAGGCCAGACCAGGAGCCACTCAAAAACCCTGATGGTTCAGATATGAAGGGATCCACAACAGAAAAGGAATGGCTGGACAAACTGGGCCCATATATTCTAAGTGTTGACCCACTTGTATTTTTTGTTGTTTACCTGCAGAGCCAGTCGATCTTAAAGACTCCGCCCAGCATCTTGGCGTTCATACCAGCAGGAAGAACCCAGTGGATCGGAGACCCGCCATGATGAGACTCTGATGCCAAACGAGCAAAACCTACAGACGAAGCAGACGAAACAAAGGAATTTAAAACTTTAAAATATGTTGACAGAGAAATTTGATGTTCCAGTAACATTGATCATATGATAAAAATCAATTAAGTAAATGATTATTACCTTGGAATTTGCCGCTCTCTCTGACAGAGAAGACGAGGACGACGCTCCGAGCTGAACGGAAAGCGGCATTGAGCTTCTTCTCATTCACCGGCAGCGTCGACCACACGCCCTGAATATCATTAACATATCATAAACTCATCGTTTAACATTACAGACAGGTGTGTGTCTATATGACCTGACATAGACAGGTGTGTGTGTGTCCACAGGTGGACTCCAATCAAGGTGTAGAAACATCAGAGATTAATTTCAGTTTGTGAAATTGTCTAAACTGTTAACGGCATTTAAACCTTTCTGAATCAGCTGTTCCTGAAACTCTGATGTCAACAACACTAATTAAAAACCTGTCAACGTTAGCTAGTGTACCTTCGCTTTAGCCAAGGAGACGTTTTCATGGTTGTTGCTCTTGATGAGGAAGAAGCGAGCATCTCGCAGGATGTAACGCAGCTTACTGGTCGGATCTACAGGAACACAGGAGGAGTAATCTGATAACTAACAGGAAACTAAAAGGATTTCTCAGTGTAATAACGGGACATGAAAACATCGCCTTACTCTCCATCCCTTTGCGAACAGCTCGGACTGACGAAGACAACTTCTCCTGCTTCTTCTCTGAACCTTTTCAAGATAAAAGCACAAACAGAAAACTTTATTTTAACAATGGGTTTTATTAAAAAACATTCACACAATTCTACTGCAGAAAATCCAGTGAAAAACAAAAAATTATACTAGAGCAGAAAATAAATAAAAAACTCATTAATCTGAAATGTATTTCATTAATAATAACTTTGTATTTAGAGGTAAACTTCTTATTGGCTCATTATGTTAATTCATCCACAGGAAACAGGTGACGATGACAAGCTACAGGTGAAAAAAAAAATTGAAGACATGAGAACCGGAAAAAGCAGAAAGTTTTTGTTGTTGTCATGGTTACCTGAAGCCTCGGAGGCGGAGCCCGAGTGAGCCGACTCACCATCGTCTGAGAAACTGACAGAGGAGGCGGAGCGTGAGTCGCCAGCCTCGCTCCGAGTGTCGTAGTCGTTACCCTCGCCACCGCCACGTCGCTCGTACTCCTCCTCTTCCTCCTCCTCTTCCTCCTTTTCTCCTTCCTCCTCCTCCTCCTCTTCCTCCTCCTCTTCCTCCATGCCTTCCTCTTCTTCCTCTTCCTCTTCCTCCTCCTCCTGATCTTCCTCTTCCTCCTCCTCTACATGGGAAGCTGCGGGGGAGGAGCTTCCTGACCCCTGCTCTGAACCATACTCTGCTGCTGCCTCATCCTCTGATTGGTTGTCCTCCTCATGGGGGGAGGGGCTTGCCCGCCGCTCGTCACGCCGCAACTTCTGAAGACCAGACAGGAAATGAATGTGATTGGCTGAGAGCGAAGTAGTGTGTATGTATGTGTACTACAGTAACGGTAGTACCAGTACCTGGCTCAGACTCTCCAGGCCTCTCTGGGAGTCACGGCGCCGTGTGTCCTCTCCTCCACGGCTCCTGGTTGCCTCTCGGGCCCCTCGCCGCCCCTTTCTCTCCTCGTAGTATTCGTGTCGATAGCCGGTGGCGGCGTTTCGGCCACGGGGGCTGGACGCCGTCTTCTTAGAAGAGGAGACGACAGGCGGGCCTGGGGCTCTCTTATTGGTGGATGACGATCTGGAGGGGGCGTGGCCTGACGAGGGGCGGAGCCTCTTCAGATCATGGCTGTCAGAGCGCTCGCTCTTCCTCTTTGTTCCTGACAGACAGAAGGATTTAGATGTGATACAGGACAAAAGCAGGTGTTCGTATGATCCACTGGTTTCAGAGGCCGGACCAGTAGAACAACCAGTAACACCAGTACCTTTCTTGTCGCTGACGTCTCGCTCACTCTCAGGGTTGTACAGCTCGTCATCCTGGTCTGGAGCTTCAGTCAGAATATCCTCCAGCACGTTCAGTTCTCCATCTGAAACAACAACTTTATTTAAACTTTATTTAAACGTTATTTAAATGCTGGATCAGGACACAGAGGTTTGACTTCAGTGTTTTTATTTGTTGTGGTCTCTCTTCTCTGTAATTTTAGATATTTGTAGTTTTATATAAAAACTGTGTCTCTGAAGAGTCAGTGGAGGAGATGAACCAGGTTCAGAACTAGCCTGGTTCACTTCACTGACATCGTTTTTATAATTGACAGTTACTTTTCAAAGAAAACAACAGTAAACAGCAGGAAACACCAGAGGCCTGTACTACGAAGTAAGTTCAACATACCCAGGATAACATTTAGTTATCTGGCTTGACTGAACCTAACATTGACGTCCTGTTAACCTGTACGACGAAGCTGTGTGTCAACGGGCTCAGTTAACCCTGGGTTTACCTGTCCGTCACGAGCGCCTTGATGTGAAAGAGGCGGAGTTGTGAATTCTAAGCACCATTGTCTGAATCATGAATGAAGTTCTTAATATGATATGAGAAGACACGGTGACACCTGCAGATAAATTCAGTTATATTGTAAATAAGTGCATGAATTATCATCATGTTTGAGTATTTTCGCTCTTCAGTCTGATGATGAACAAACTGTTATGAACATGTGATGCAGATAAAACAGTTAAAGTTAATGTCAGACTGTTTCTGCAGAGAGGAGAGAAAGAAAAGAGGAGAGGAGTAGTTCATGTCTGATGAGTTAGACCGGTTAAAATGTTCATTTATAATCATGCAAATAATTGGGGCGTCAAGTAGCGCAGTGGGTTGTGCAGGTGCCCCATATGTAGAGGCTACAGTCCTCGCTGCAGTCGGCCCCGGTTCAAATCCCAAATCAGACGGCCCTTTACTGCATGTCATTCCCCCTCTCTCTGCCTCCTCATTTCCGGTCTCTCTCTACTATGCTATCAATAAAAGCATAAAAAAATTATGTACTTAAAATAATCATGCAAATAATTAACAGTGTGTGGCTGATTGTTCTAATCAAAGACATCAGAGGTTTAGTTTTTATTTCCAGTCATGGTCACAGAGTCTCCTCATGTCATTCTGAGCTGCAGTAATGAACAAGAGAGTAAAAGCTTCATCACTGTCAGGAATCCTATCAGATTAAAGAATCTTTGTTCAATTAAAATGAAGCTATAATAGTTATTATATATTTATTTAGTGATAAACTCTCTGTGAATTTTTTAGAAGCTTAGTATTACAACCAGAGTGGACACATGGAAAGACCCAAACAGGAAAACTATTACACTGATTTATATGTTACATCTACTGCTCGTTATTATTGACCACTTTATTGTAAAGTCTTTTGTAAAGTCTTTTTGATCTGATCCTCTGAAGTTAACCTGCGCCGGAGCAGGTTAGGAGTTCAGCATCAGTTACCATGGTGATTTACCCCGATAACAAATGAACCACAGTCATAGGACTGAAAACCCAAAGTTAAACCTGAAGTTACCTCGATAACCTCAAATCTTACTTCGTAGTACAGGCCTCTGCTCTGTCTAATGAGGTCTTCAGAATGTCTTGTTTTGTCCAAGCCACAGTTGAAACCCAAACATTTTCTTTCAGAAACCACCACAGCTTCACATCAAGAAGCTGAATCACCATCGACTTGGTAACTAATGGACTGTGATCAGTCTGGCTGGGCTACGTTTACAGGTTGTTTCTATGCGACGCAGGGGTTGTTGCTCATTACATGTGTCAGTAAATATAACGGTGTTCCACGTCTCTGTGTTGTTTTTATCATTTTATTACAGATTGTGTCCGGCTGAACCGACACTCGGCCAATTTAACATCTAACAACGTCTGTCTGCGACTGCCCGACTGATGTCACTTCCTGGAGCCAATCAAAACTTGTTGACTAAGACTCTTCTCATGGACTAAGGTTAGATTGACGTGAATGTGTGAATATTGAGGAGGACACAGACTGTAAAACGTCTTCAGCCAAGACAATCAGCTTCTGTATATAATGTTCTTTAGTGGATCGTCTGTTAATATCATCGATAAAGTCATAAAATTATAAATGACTTTTCATTTAGACTAATCGATTGGTGGGTTGGTGGATCTATAGAAAAAGATATGAACCTGAATCCAGTACATCCACATTTACAGGCTGAAGTAAAACTCTATGATTTACATGTGATCTCTTTGTAAAGTGTCACGATATTAACAGTTTAATAAATCAGCACTGGTGTTTAACAGGTTCAGGGGAGATCCAGCTGCAACAATCCACTGTGATGTTTATTTCCCGTTTGCTTTATTATGACGTCATTAACCAATCACAACCTGGTTGATGCGAACACAGCGTGGATCAGAACAACTCTGCGTCAGGTTACATTTGAGTTAAAGTGAGTGAAACAGCAGAATCAGATTTCTAAACGGACTCTGATGTCGTGGCTGCACACAGCGGGGAGGCGTTAGCCGCCGACGCTAACAAGCATGATCACTGAGAGAGAGGAGACCCTAACCGGCTGCTGGTCACACACTAAACACATTAACTAGTCAACAGTCACCAATTAACGTAATCGGCCATAACTTATCAATAAACCTATCCATTATTGATTATCAACTGAAAGGACCAAGTATCAACAGAACAAAGATAGCACATATGCTAAAGCTAACAGCTAACTGTGGCTGAGAAAGAAACCTGCTAGCGCCTCACCTTTGTCCTCGCGCCGGTCGGCCGCCATCACCGCCGCTGTGACGTACAGAAGTAACTGCGGGCAAACCGGGTTTTAGTTTGAATTAAAGACAAAATTATAATCAGAAAAACAGATTTAGAGCAGCTGAAAGAGCAAATGGCGGACGGTCTGTTGTTGAAACTTCTTGTTCTTCCTCTTGTCAGATCTAGCGTTCAGTGTTACTACCGCCACCTTCTGGACCGGAGCACCTCACACACCTGGCTTTACATTTTATTGCACAAATAACAGCAGCAACAAACGGCGCGAGAGGGAATATGTCGTCACAGTGACTAAGAATATTACAGACAATATCAAAGATTAATTTTAGTGTTTTTCTACGTTTGGTTTTACTGCCTGGGTCTGTTTTACAACAATAACATGGATAATGGCTGTAGAGGACCAAACAAACTAGTTGAATTGTTTTGTGCAAAATAAATCAGATACAAATAACCTCAGTTGTTTTTTCAGGATTTTTTTTATTTAGTTTCTAGGAAACATTTGAATTTACTGACTTGCGACAGGATTGACACGTTGTAGAATGATTTTTATTGGATAGATAACTATAAACAACAGTCAGGGCATCTTCTCATATTTTAATGATTATCAATATCACATCATCAATCACCAGGGGATCCATTGCAGCTTAACGTTTGGAAGGTTTTCTTTTGAAAAACCTGTAGAGGAAGTTATTCGTGTTGTTGACTCGGAGCAGCTTCTGTATGGCGTCAGACCGGAAGTCCACGTCAGTCCTGAGACAAGAACTGCATATTGACTGAAACTCAGACTGGACCCGTTTTATTTAAAGCCGTGTTAAACGAGAACTTTTATTTTCTTCTGGAGTCCAAATGGCGGACGAGGCCACGCGCAAGGCCGTGTCGCAGATACCGTTGCTGAAGACGCACGCCGGACCGCGAGACCGCACGCTGTGGCCGCAGCGGCTGAAGGAGGAGTACCAGGCTCTGATCCGGTTCGTGGAGCAAAACAAGGCGGCCGATAACGACTGGTTCCGTCTGGAGTCCAACGCGGACGGCACGCGATGGACCGGTACGTGTTGGTTCATCCACGAGCTACTGCGCTACGAGTTCCGGCTGGAGTTCGACATCCCGGTGACGTATCCAAACACCGCGCCAGAGGTGGCGGTCCCGGAGTTGGACGGGAAGACCGCTAAGATGTACCGCGGCGGGAAGATCTGCCTGACCGAGCACTTCGCGCCGCTATGGGCCCGGAACGCGCCGCGCTTCGGCCTAGCGCACCTGATGGCTCTGGGACTTGGACCGTGGCTCGCCGTGGAGATCCCGGACCTGATCAGTAAGGGGCTCGTAGTTCACAAGGAGCGGCAGCGCGAGGAGTCGGTGGAGTGACGTCCCTTGACGGAACAATAAACTTACAAACTTGTGACAGAACTGTTTGTGTTTGGTTCAAAGTAAAACTGAAGAAAAAATTTACAGTCTGGTGGAGAAGTCATTTTAATATGAAATTAAACAGCTTGAAATTAATGACAAAATCTGGGCTAATTATGAAAATGATCTCTAACATATCCGTAGATAACTATTATTATTAGTGTTATCGGGGGGATGAGGTCATCATTCTGATATGAAAACAACAGTTCAACTTGTTACAGCTTTTTTACATTTGGTCTTTATTTGAATGCTGTTGATTTTATTTTCTCATCTTCATGGCATTTCCTCTCAGTAAACTTGGATAACCTCCGCCCACTCAGACAGAAGCCAAACCCCGTTTTCCTGCACGTTGCTCGGCGACGTCTTCCAATCCCAGCTCCTCATTGGGACACTCCAGGAGGCGCCATAATTCGCAGTAACGTAGTCAAGTGTTTCGCACGGAACGCGAACTTTCAGCTCAAGAAGCTCCGCCCAGCAGAGCGAGAACCGGGGGAAGACGTATCTGACGAAAAACACAGAAAACTTCATTAACAACAACGAGGAGAGAATGAGACAATATGAAAGAACAGGTGTTTTATTACCTGTTAACAATTACGTTTATTTGGAGTCGTCTGTTTATATTGACTATATTTCACAAACACACACCTATAGTTAACGTAAAAAAACCACTTTTTTTTTTACTTGAACTTCCTCCCGCTCTTTGCCTGCGTTCCTCCGTTCCAGACGATGTCTTTGTTTTCGTAGAAAAAAAAAATGTCCAGTTTGACATCCTCACTCAGAAATGACAGCTCCAGACTGTCTTCCACCTAAAATTCAAAATAAAGGACAAGCCTTCAAAATAAAGTGCATATTAGCTTCAGAGTAAAATAAATAGTGTGAATATAAATGCATATTAATTTCAAAATAATATACAAATCTGACTCAGAAAGAAACACAACCCTTCAAAATAACACACCTGCTTCACAAGTATGTAATGTGATCATGAAATAGTTAGCTACAGTATTACAACATTAATGCAGACAAAAATGAAAGTTTCAATAGGAGGACTAAAGGAAATAAAGTTATACCTTTCCAAACTTGTGTTTGAGAGACAGACCGGCGTCTCTGAACGCTGCGAGGATGTCTGTCCTGAAGTCTACGATGAAAATCCCAATATCAACGTCACGACTGTACGAGATAATACTGCACTGCCTGAACCAGCCTATAGAGGGTGAGAGACATCCTTTCGTTATGTTGTGATGTTAGCATGTAAGCATGTTAGCATGTCAGCATGTTACCTAAACAGGTGCCGCTGCTGAGCCAGAAGGGAATGTCGAGGCGAGCAAGTGTTCGAGCGGCTAAATGAAGCAACGACTTCACTTTCCTGCGAAAATCCACGGCTGCTAGAGATGAGTCGTCAGGGTAGAGCTACATTCAAGGGGGAGAGAGAGAATGTTATTTTATCTGATTTTAAAGCTTTTATTATTTTATATTTTGCCAAAATTAATATTTTTTAATTAATTTCACCAAAATTTATAAATCATGAGTCATGGTCCATTTACCAGCTTTTAAAATGATCTCATGGTCTTCATCATGTGACTGAAAGCTCAGGTCAAGAACAACCCTACGACCCTATTGAAAGTGTAGTGCTGATTATTACTCCGACCGGAAGATAAATCACCTTTTTTGAGGCTTTTCCCATGGTCAATGCACACAGGTCACGTCCATAGGCGTGGCAAAATGGCTCCGTAGCACCACCTAGTAATTTTTTAAAAATTGAGCTCCCTCTCTGTGTTTCACCTACATGCACGAAAAATCGGTAGGCACATGTAACATGCCAAGCCTCACAAAAAAGTCTCATGGACCTATACCCTAAACCAAAAAGGAAGTCGGCCATATTTAATTCAATTTGCAATTTTGGTGCTGTTTTTGCGATTTAGGGGTCATGTACTTTAACAAACTCCTAGGGAATTCATCAGATTTACATGATGGTCGGTGAATCTAATCTTAAGACCTTTGCAATGTTAAATTGCAAAGCTTTTGAGTTTTCGCTATAGGAACCGCCCACAGCAGCGTGGCAAATTTCGATCCTTTGCCATGAAAAACCAACTCGATCTGATTCCAACACAAATTGTCCAAACTGCCTCAAACTTTCTGTGTGTGATTAGAGTCCCGCCCTGAACACACTCATACGTTCATCTTCAGTGATACTCATAGCGCTCCCTTGTGGAAATGGGAAGTGTCACGTTTTACACTTTGATATACTGCTCATAGCAGGTTGTTCGAATACATGGTTAGGAAATGCTTAACAACTTGATGATGTACTGTAGTTAAAACTGTGACTTTTCATGACACAGCCTGCCCATGGCGGCACGGGGAATTTCGATCCTTTGCCATGAAAGTTCAACTCGCTATAACTCTAGCATACATTGTCCAAATGGCCTCATGGTGTCTAGGTTTGATAAGAGTCCCGCCCTGAATAGACCTATATGTCCATATTTAGTAATACTCATAGTGCCACCTCTAGGCAACATTTAATATTATGATTAACTTTTCATGTATTATTCCTAGTGAGTTGACCTGGCACTCAAAAAAATGGTCAGAAAAAAAATTGTAGAAGATGCTGATGCTTCATGCATGTCAATTAGGAGTTTTCACTTAAGGGTATGGCTCTGGCGGCAAGTTAAATACAAAACAGGAAGTGGCTCTATGTCTGTGACATACTGTCGAATTCTAAGCTCATTGTTGGTTTATTCTCATCTTGGGACCGGTGCAATTCTACAGTGCAGAGCTTTTGAATTATCGACAAAGGACCCGCCTGTGGCGGCACACTGAATTTCGACCCTTCACCATGAAGTTGCTATAACCTCAGCCTACAGTGTCCAAACCAGTCGAAACCTTATAGGTTTGATGAGACTCCCGCCCTGAACACATCTACATGCTCATATTTAGTAATACTTATAGTGCATAGCACTACTCAATACTCATAGCATACTTTATCCAATATTACCCAAATTTCACATTTGATGACAGTCTCACACTGAAGACATCTGCATACTAATATTACATTATAGTCACACTGCCACCTACTGAAAACAGGATGTAACTCTTATGTGACAATCATTTACATGACATTTTCATTGTAAGGTCTGATATAGAGCCTCATGTGTAGCTATTATGTGGTCTCTGGCTCCATCAGGTGGTCACAATTGCACATAAAATGCACATGAAAATCCTTAAAATCTTTTCTGTTGCCACATAGTCTGTGCAATGAATCTTACCCCATGAGCGCAGTGTCCGGTGGTTGTTACGATGTGCGACTTTAATCTTATTTATAACTATCTTCACATCATCTCTTACACATTTTGTTTGCCGTTTTCGTTATTTAAAAAAAATATTCACTTTTAATTTGTAGAATTCATGTTTAAGATATTTTAAATGCTACCATTTTTCAGTCAAAACATTTGTCAGAATTTTGATTTCTGCTTCTGCTTTGTAAAATATTTTCTCCTTTATTTTTAATTTAAAAATCTGTTTAACTTTTTTTTTTTTTTTTTAAATACACATGTCCAATAATTATTTTCACTTTATTGTTTTAAAATAGTCTTTTCTTCTTTTTTTATTTTCACACCATGTTTCCTATTCCTCCTTTCACATAAAAGCCCTGCGTTCTATCAGACCTGGAGAAAGTTGCGGGCGTCACGGTATCGGCATTCCAGGAAGCGGGCATGTTGCTGCTCGGACAAGAAGCGGGAAATGTTGCGTGGGACTTGAACATCGAGGCCGTCCAGGACAGTCAGGACCAGCTCCGGCCTGCACGGGTCGACCATACAAAACATAGATGTTCATTAACACGCATTTAATTAATAATTAAAGCAGATGACCACAGCTGGTTCATCCTCAGGGAGATGATGATGATGATGATGATGATGATGATGTCTCCTTGTATGTTTAGTTGGTCCCCAAAGTCAATTTTGCAATTTTTTTATTTAAATTTTTTAACCCAGAAATGTAAACTTTGGAATTTGGACCAGAATCTGAATCCTCTCTTTCATCATTTGTGTCTTTGCTTTGCTTGGTCTTCTGCTCTGCTCCCAGTGTCTCCAACTCTGATCTAACATTCACTCAATCATTCATTCTGTATGCAGAGTGTTGTACCTGTCATAGGCTCCGGCGTGATGTCCGTAGTCGAGCAATTTGAATGGAGCGAAGCTTCGGTCCATGTTAGCTTTGAGGCGTAGCGCTCCATGCCACAGGTAGTTCCCGCTGCGCTCGTACAGGAACACCACCTGGGACAAAATACATTCACCACTATGTTGTGTGGTTTCTATGTGGTCGCTACCTGTTTCTGGGTGGTTGCTAAATGGTTGCCATGTGGTTGGAGTGTCACCATGTGGCCCCACCCACCTGGATGATGTAACCATGGAGGCGGAACAGGAGGTGCAGAGGGATGTCCTCTCCTGATAGGGTGTCAAGACTAGCCAATCGCGGGTCCTCTCCGCGCAGCTCCAGCAGCTCGAAGCCTTTCTGCTCAGCGGCCAACAGGAAGCCAGGCTGATACGGGGAAAAACAAACATTTTACCTGAAAATAAATTGTTTCATAATTTAAACACAAATTCAACAAATACAGAAAACTATATAAATACATGATAAAGTAAAAGAAGGGATGATGATGATGATGATAAACAGTTCGATCATAAACGACATTTTCACAATTTCTTAGGTTCTGTTAATTCCCACCGTCTATTTGGACTGATTACATACTCACATCGTACTTCCACAGGTTGGCATGCAGCGCGAACGACGTGATTGGCCGGTTGGTGCACAAGAAACTGCAGTGCGGCTCATGCACCTGCCGGTCGCGCTGCCGCAATGCATCCTGGGAGAGCAATGTGAGCGCTGCGATGTCGGTAAGAAACATTGGCAGCCGGAAACGCTGCGCTAACGCCAGGAACTTCTTAACCGTCTGCTGTGGAGAAAAATAAACAGGACAGTTTCCATGGAAACGGTTACCACAACAGTGATGGACAGGTTAACATTTAAATATTAGAAAACAGGAAATGAGTCACACACAACTAAAAGGGACGCTACCAGCTAATATGGTGGCTATTGGCTAACGTTGAGGATAACCCATAGGCTAATGGTGTGGCTAACATAAGTGCAGACTTACCCATTGGACGTCACTGGCACTCAGGTGACCTGTTCGACTCAGGATGTGAGGTCCAGACTGCAGAATGTTGCATGTTGGGTAATATTAGAATCAGAAAGATAGAGAAGATTCTGTGTTTAATGTAAAATGTCTCCTGATGGTGACACTGTTGAGTGTTCCATACACAGATGTCCCTGAACGCAACAAACTGCAGCGTTACCACTGTTATTGTTGTCATTTACAATATTTTGTTAACAGTATTTTGTTGTTGTGCAGCTTTCATTTTATTGTTTACCGTGACATGTGTTCTCACCTTGCCGACGTACTTCCGGTAGTAATACAGCTGAAACAGCAGGAACACGGAGCTGCTGGCTATCAGCAGCGATAAAACGGCTGTCCTGTTCACACGAGGCATCCGGTAACCCTGCACGGGGATCCGCTCCTCATGACATCAGCATCGGAGCTCTCCGTCCGGGATTAAATGCGGCAAAATCTCACAATGGCGCGAATAACACCAACCTCTCCGCGGCGTCAAGAGCCACCGCCATCTTTAAATCGACCGGAAGAGGAGGACGACCGCTTCCTAATGAGACCTTCACAGTAAAAGCCTGAAGCTGACATCGACAAAACATTTCTTTTGATTTTACTTTTGAAACCAAAAGCAACACAAGAGATCAGCGCCATCAAGTGTTGAGAGAAGAGATGAAGGGCAAGTTAATACAAAATGAATACAAGCAGGGGTAAATAAATGACAGAAGTAAACAAATCAAATAGAAAGAATGAAGTGAAAGAATAAAACGTGTGATAGACCTTATAAATAAATGATTTTGGCTGTTTTATGATTTAACTTGGATCATTTTGTGACAGTTTCCTTTAATAATACTGCAAGGTGGTTTTATTAGTCAATGTACATTTATGAAAGTAACATTTTTGCCATGAGTATTAGATTAATAATAAGTGACATTGTCTTTAGCCCCATTCTATGCTGAACTTGTCATTAACATTTGACATATTGTTGACATATATTATTCTAATTTTATGTCTGTTTTCTTCTGCTTGTTGTGCTAACATGTTTCTTTTTTCATTTTTAGATCTTGCAACTTTTTAGACGCCCTTCTATATTTTTTATCTCACCGCACAATCCTTTTTACTCCCTCACCACATTATCTTTTGTGTATTTTGTTATGTGAAAAATTTCATCATGTTGGGAGAAACCAAATATAATATCTTTGAATGAAATTAAATGTTGAGAACTACAAATGTCTGCCCAGACTTTTTGAATAACTGCAGGTTTATAATAAAAGAGGGAAACATCACATTAATATTTTAAACCTCTGAAGGAACTTTAACTTCTTTGACATTATTAGAATAAATCCCGTGGTTACTTATCATTAAACTCAAACTGAAGCAGCAGAGAAGTCGGCAGACAACCAGTTAGTTTGTGCTTCTTTATATTGTGTTGTGCTGCACCAGAGGCCTGAGGCCTGTACTACAAAGCAAGTACAACATACCCACGATAACTTTTAGTTATCTGGCTTGACTGAACCTAACATTGACCATCCTGATAATCTGTACCACAAAGCTGGTTATCAACTGGCTCAGTTAACCCTGGGTTTACCTGTCCGGTTATGAGCGCGTACATGTGAAAGAAGCGGATTTCTTAATTATAAGCAACATCTTCTGAACCATGAACCATGTAGTTCTTAATATGATATGAGAAGACACGATGATACCTGCCAGTTACTTCGGCTATAACCATGTGCACAAGTGACATTCAACAAGGTGAAATATAAACAATATGATCACATGACTGGAGTAAAAATTGAAAAAAATATATAATTAGGCTAATATTAAAGTCAGATTAAGGATATATTAAGGTTAATGACAGAATGTTTCTGCCGCAGAGAGGAGAGAAAGAAAAGAGGAGAGAAGTAGTTGATGTCTGATAAGTCAGACCAACTGAAATGTTTAAAAATTATAAATCAAATTTAGAATCAAGTGGTCGAGGACCTCAGGGGAACAGCGCCTAGCACTGGGACTGCCGCCGAGCCTGTTTCCCAGCTATGCCTGGACAGCTGGGAAAAATTTGTGTCAGACCCTTGGGTTATGGCTACTGTGGCAAATGGATACAGAATCCATGCTCCTCTCTGCAGCAGAAACAGTCTGACATTAACTTTAACTGTTTTCTCTGCATCACATGTTCATAACAGTTTGTTCATCATCAGACTGAAGAGCAAAAATACTTATTTACAATATATCTTTGGTCTGACTTTAATAGATATTATATTTAAACATGGAAATAATATATTTTTATTCCAGTCATGTGATCATATTGTTTATATTTCACCTTGTAGAATATCACTTTTGGACGTTGCTATCACTTAACTAATCTGCAGGTGTCACCGTGTCTTCTCATATCATATTAAGAACTTCATTCATGATTCAGACAATGGTGCTTAGAATTCACAACTCCGCCTCTTTCACATCAAGGCGCTCGTGACGGACAGGTAAACCCAGGGTTAACTGAGCCCGTTGACACACAGCTTCGTCGTACAGGTTAACAGGACGTCAATGTTAGGTTCAGTCAAGCCAGATAACTAAATGTTATCCTGGGTATGTTGAACTTACTTCGTAGTACAGGCCTCTGAACTGACATTACTTGCGATACTTTAAACACAGACCTTTTATTTGTAATGTAGTGTTTTAAATGTCGGTATTTTTACTTTAGTGAAGGATCAGAGTACTCACCCTGCACAGACTGTAGGCCTGTAACTGTAATAGTACTTTACATTGTGGTGCTTTTACTTATGCACCCAGTGACACACACAAACAAGATGGCGGACCGCAGCAGCAGTTTGTCCACAACAAAAAGACCGTGTTAAAACTTTGTTAAACTCCACTTTCCCCGCTCTGACCGGAAACATGAGAGGTCCCCGCCGCCTCTAACGGTTCGTTTACCGGCGGTGCGTTTCCCGGCGATGTTCCCGTGAAGCTGCCGCCGTCTGAAGCGGACTTTGGTCGTTTCCTCCAACCGGGAAGGTAAGAACGGCCGTGCTGTTAGCTTAGCTGCGCGCTAACCGTTTGTTTTGGTTGGATGTCAGTGCTAGGACGGGTCTTTGGACAGACGGGTCACGGTCACACGGCTCCCATGGTTCTGTAGGGCCGGGGAGAAGAAGAGCGAGTGAAATAATCGGAGGTAACGTGGGTGTTCTGTCTTTATTCCGGGAAAGAGGCGGCGAAGCGCCGGACTGTGATATTCAGCTAACGGGTTAGCATAGCTAACAGCTGCCCACTGTTACTGTGAGTACTACTGCAGTTAGTAAAGGTACTAGATTTTTGTTTTAAACTAGAGACTACATCTGAGTGATGTTGGTAAAATCAGAGCGCTTGTGATACAGCAGACAGTCTGACTGCAGTTCCTCAGGAGTGGACAGTAGTAGGAGTAGTAGTAGTACACAGTACTACATCAGTATGTGTATATTGAGGTGTAAAAATGGAGGGATTGTTGATCATTTAATAGCTCAGTTAAATATTCTGGCCTTAAAATTCTGAATTTTACATATAAGGTATTTTAAATATTTAAAATAATCTGATGATAAATTGATGAATCATTTCACTTCTGCAGTTCTGATATTAATACAATCAGCTCTACTGCTTATCTTAGTAACAGACAGAAATCTAAGATAATAATAATACTGTTTAAATGCACCTGTGGTTCAGGTGAGCTGCAGCTTTAGGAGACAACAGGTTGGTTTTTAATGTTTAAAGTTAATGACCCAGCTAATCAAAGTGACAGTGATTAAAAACCTTCTGATTCATCTGGTCAATAAACCAACAGAAGATTAAATTTATCAGTCAGAGCTCCTGTTTACTGTCACAGTGGGTTTTAAACTGTTGTTCGTACAAAACAAAACATTATAGAACATACAGATTATAGAGCAAACAAATAATCAATACTGAAATAATGATGCAGTCCTGATTTATCTGAAACATTTATTTGAATCACAGGAACACGGGGAACTACAGATGTATATATTTAGATGTATATCAGTACTTGAATCCACAAACTGCTGATACTGCAGTAGTTCAACATATTGTTTTGAACAAAAGTAAAAGTAGTTCTGTAACTACAACTACTGCAGTACTGCTGCAGTGATACATGGTATCAATAATACTGATACTACAACTTATAGTGCTGTGAATCAGCGCCACTGTTCAAGTAGTGTGTACGCACGCCATAAATCATTGGGTCTGATTGGCTGACAGCTCAGCGGCTGAGAATGGGCGAGAGATGGAGAGAGAGTTTTGTGTCATGTTTTTAGAGGATTGATTGATGATTTATTGATTGATTGATTTCCCTGGTCAGTATGTCAAGTAAGCGATGTATCGCTGTGAACTGGACCGACTACCAATCAGCATTTAGTCTGCAGACAACCCAGAATGCAACACTCTCTGGTACTCTCTGTACCATGTCTATGAAGTCACGGTTGTTTACCTTTTCACGTGTTCACTCCTCCCTCTACAACAGACTCTCAGTTGTTTCACTCAGTAGTCAGCAGGACATTCAGCTTTCACACACAGTTACTGGTCGTCATCACTGTCAGCTGTAGAGATGCTCATCTGTAAACTGGAGTGTTGCATTGTGGGATTCTTCAGTCCACACACACACACAGACATGAACCTGTTATTTCAAATATAATGTGATAACAGGAAACAACACTTGTGTGTGTGTGTGTGTGTGTGTGTGTGTGTGTGTGTGTGTGTGTGTGTGTGTGTATTAGTATCTCAGTAACCCGGTCAGTCTGCCTGCAGCAGCTTCTGCAAAGCATTCTGGGAGCTGGGGGGGGGGTGCCCCTTCCTCCCTCCCTCCCTCATCTGTCTCTCTCTGGTTCCTGATTGGCTGCTCGCTCACCCAGCGGACTGCCCTCTGTCAGACAGAGAGAGAGAGAGAGGGAGGGAGATGGAGGCGACAGCGATGGGGTGAGCTGCCATTTTCTCTTTCTTTATCCAACATCTATCCATCTTTCATTCATTCATCTGGTTTCATCTGCTTTATTTTGTGATGAATGGATTAGTGAGAGAGAGGAGACGGGGAGAAGGGGGGTAGGGGAGGGGGGTTTTCTCCCTTCATTGTCTGTTCTCTGCTTGTTTTTCTTCTTTGGATTTAATTTATTCTGTTTTCTGTGATGGAGAAAGAGAGGGGGAGGATGGAGGGATGGAGAGAAGGGGGGGAGATGGGGGAGGAAAGGGAGGCAGGGATGATGGAGGGAGGAGAGAAAAGGGACAGAAAATGGCCGACCGGTGATGGAGGATGAAGGAGACAGAGGGAGGAGGAGAGGCTGTCGTTCTCTTGTGTCCTTTATTATTGTTTATTGGTCACATGTTTGAGCTGTGATCAAAGTCATTGATCAGAATGTGATTGATCAATTATTGATGAAGCAGAGACTGAGTCCACATCTAATCTGAATCTGCAGTAGTGTGCATTAGTACTGCAGTAATGTGCAGTAGTACTGTAGTAGTACTGCAGTAGTGTGTATTAGTACTCCAGTAGTGTGTAGTTGTACTGCAGTGCAGTGTAGTAGTATTGCAGTAGTGTGTAGTAATACTGCAGTACAGTGTGCTGAGTCAGATTGTACTGTCAACTCCAGCTGCCTCCTTTATTGATTAATCTGCTGGTGATCAATGTCTCAGTTGATTGCTCGTTGAGTCAGTGAATGTGACGTTTGTTTCATTTACTCTCATGTCAAACATCATACATGTTCATGTTTTAATACGTGTTTGTTTTCATACGTGTTCTGTTTGCATACGTGTTCATGTTTACATACATGTTCCTGTTTTCATACATGTTCATGTTTTCATAGGTGTTCCTTTTTTTCATAAGTATTCACGTTTTCATATGTTCATGTTTTCATATGTGAT